GGTGGCGGCCCCCCCTAGAATTGCATGCAGCTCGGCGTAGAAGCGGCATGTCCGCGGCTCTGACCCGGAGCGACCGTTTGCCTCCTTTGTTTTTTGATAGGCTTGTCTGAGCTCCTTGACTTTCACGCGGCACTGATCTAAGTCCCTATTGTGACCTCTCTCCATCATGCCCTTGGAGATTTTTTCAAAAGTTTTGGCATTTCGTCTTTTAGAACGAAGTTCTGCTAGCACTGAATCCTCTCCCCATATAGCGATCAGATCCAGTACCTCCCGTACGGTCCATGCTGGTGCTCTTTTTCGATTATCTGCCTGCATGGTTACCTGTGCTGATGAGCTATCTGTGGTCACCTGTGCTCTCCACGCTGGGCAAACAGGAAATGAAATTAAAATATTCCCGGGGCTTTTCCTGTCTACCTGGCCAGTGCATCCGAGTTCAGATTGCTGTCCAGAGCGGTCACAATGCTGCACTGTGGGATAGCTCCCGGAGGCCAATACCATCGAATTGCGGCCACACTAACCCTAATTCGAAATGCTAAAATCGATTTTGGCGCTACTCCGCTCGTCGGGGTGGAGTACAGAAATCGATTTAAAGAGCCCTTTATTTCGAATTAAATGGCGTCGTTGTGTGGACGGGTGCAGGGTTAATTCGAATTAAGGCTGCTAAATCCGAATTAAAGTCGTAGTGTAGACCAGGCCTGAAGTCCAAATCCTGTGTTTGTGATGTCATGATTAATTGTTGTAGAGATTGAGTTGTCAGAAACAAGATTATGGAACACAATGAGTGCAGAGCCCTACAACTTCCAGGGAATGGGAAGAAGCTGAGATCTTATTTGAACATATTTCTAGTAATAAAATTGGGAAGGGGAAATAATTGTTTTTAAAAAGATAGTCTTGAAAAATTGTTACACTTTACAATAATGATTAATTAAATTGCAGTTACATTGCAATTACAGTGTGATTAAACTATTGCCATGCTTTATGAATGTAATGCCTGTAATTAACACTAATTCATAAAACCAGCTGACTACATTAAGGCATAACTACAGTGTAGCAGGACCTTGCATAATTAGTGTACCTAAAAATCTAAATGTATATATTCTAAGTATGAAACATAGTAACAAATAATTAAGTCACATAATTAGTATAATAAACACAATTCCAGTTATATTAATTAGTGATGAGTTATCAAAAAGCATAACCGAGTGAGAGCAGCAGAATAAGGACAATGGACTTAAAAAAAGCAGTCTTTAACAAACTTAGAGAACTGGTAGGTAAGGTCCAATGTGAAGAAAATCTGAGGGGAAAAGAGTTCAGGAGAGCTAACAGTTTCTCAAGAGAATCATATTAAAGGCAAAACCGCAAACTATCCCGATACAAAGGAAAGAGAGGAAGAATAGTGAGACACCAATAGGGCTCCATCAGGAGATTTTAAGAGACCTGAAAATAAAATAAAATAAATCCTACACAAAGTAGAAATATGGACAAATTACTAAGGAGGAATACAAAAAATAGCACAAGCATGTAACTACACAATCAGACTAAGTTACAAAATGAGTTACACCTAGCTAGAGATGTGAAAGACAATACGAGGAGGTTCTTTAAATACATTAGGAGCAACAGAATGATGAAAGTGTAGGTCCTTCACTTAGAGGGGAAGGAGAGCTAAAAACTGACGACATCAAGAAGCCTGACGTGTTTAATGCCTATTTTGCTTCAGTCTTCAGAAAAAAAGTTAATGGCAATCAGATACTCAACACAATAACAACAACAAGGGGGAAGGAATGCAAGCCAAAATAGGGAAAGAACAGGTTGAATATATCTAGCTTATATAAATATTCTTTAAATTGGTAGGGCCTAATGAAATTCACCCTAGAGTACTTAAGAAACTAATCGAAACAATCTCAGAACCATTAGCAATTATCTTTGAGAACTCCTGGAGGACTGTTGAGGTCCCAGGAGACTAGAGCGGGCAAACATAGCAGCTGTCTTTAAAAAGGGGAACAAAAGACAACCTGGGAAATTAAAGCCCAATCAGTGTAACTTCAATACATGGAAAGATACTGGAACAAATTATTAAACAATCAATTTGTAAGCACCTGGAGGGTAACAGGGTTACAAGGAACAGCCAGAAAGGATTTGTCAAGGACAAATAATTCCAAACTAACCTAATTTCCTTCTTTGACAGGGTTACTGGCCTAGCAGATAGGGTAGAAGCAATAGATGTGGTATATCTTGATTTTAGTAAGGTTTTTTGATGCAGTCCCACATGACATTCTCATAAGCAAACTAGGGAAATATGGTCTAAATGAAATTAGCATAAGGTAGGTGCACTACTAGTTAAAGACCATACTCTAAGAGTAGTTATCAATGGTTTGCTGTCAAACTAGGAGGGTGAATCTAGTGGGGACCCACAGGGGTCAGTTTTGGGTCCGGTACTATTGAGTATTTTCATTAATGACTTGGACAATGGAGTGGAGAATATACTTATAAAATCTAAAAATGACACCAAGCTGAGAGAGATTGCAGGCACTTTGGAGGCCAGGATTAGAATTCAAAACAACTTTGACAAACTGGAGAATTGGTTTGAATTTACCAAAGTGAAATTTACAAGTGCAAAATACTTAACTTAGGAAGGAGAAATCAAATGCACAACTACAAAATGAGGAATAACTGGCCAAGTGGTAGTACTGCTGAAAAGGATCCGAGGTTATAGTGGATCACAAACTGAATACGAGTCAACAATGTGATGCAGCTGTGAAAAAAGGCTAATATTCTGGAGTGTTGTATGTAAGACATGTGAGGTAAGTGACATGAGGTAGTGTCCCCCTACTCAGCACTGATGAGGCCTCAGCTAGAGTACTGTGTCCAATTCTGGGTCCCACACATTAGGAAAGATATAGACAAATTGGGGAGAGGCCAGAGGAGAGCAACAAAAATTATAAAAGGTTTACAAAACTTGTGAGGAAAGGTTAAAAAAACTGGGCATATTTAGTCTTGAGAAGAGAAGACGGAGGGGGCACCTGATAACAGTTTTCAAATATGTAAAGGGCTGTTATAAAGAGGACAGTGATCCAACTGTTCTCCATGTCCACTGAAGGCAGGACAAGAATGGCCTTAATCTGCAGCAAGGGAGATTTAAGTTAGAAGAGTTTTTCCTAATATCTAACTATAGGAGTAGTTAGGCTCTGGAATAGGCTTCCAAGGAAAGTTGTGGAATCTCCATCACAGGTTTTTAAGAACAGATGAGATAAAATACCTGTCAGGGATGGCCTTGGTTTACTTGGTCCTGCCACAGTGCCGGGGGCTGGATTTGATGACTTCTCTAGATCCTTTTCAGCCCTACATTTTTATGATTGTATATCTAAACTGTAACTACACTGTAAACTACAGTGTGATTTATCATACTTCATAATATGATCAAAAATTCTAAGAGGCACCTGCAGCAATTTAACATGCTTTTCTCTACAAATATTTCCAACCCTCAGGCTCAGAGTATGGAGGAGAACATATTTTACCTTGACACGGAATGGTAAACTTACCAAAGTCAAAAGAATAAAACTGGTAAGTGCTTATAAAATATAATTAAGGCCTCACTTTTAGTCCAACCTTAATAAGGCCTTCCTTTGTGTGCCCTCATTTTTGCAGGCATAAATGGGGGTGTATTTTTGCTCATGCAATTATTTGTAGATGCAATTTAGATCACTCTAAATTCTTGTTAGCAGATCTGCATGAATTTACTTTTAATAACTGCAGGAATGTTGCTGTTTGGATCAATGCTACCAGTATATTTTGGATGAGCTCAAGTAACTTTAATATATGCATACACGTGCATTTTTCTGTAAGTAGAACCTCAATTTTACAAACACCAATCTTACAGATTACCTTTTATACAAATCATTTTTCCCAATGGTGGAAAAAAACAGTCACATAACAAAAATGATATTGATAAAAAACAAGTCAACATTCCTTCATGTTCAAATGCGTTTATTGCATTGGAAATTGATTTGCCGGGGTTTTAAGTACTAAAAAATGTGATCCAGTGCACCATATTTCAATTTATGCACTGTGCCCACTGTAATTTTGAGATATTCAATTTCATTAATTTTTTTGATTTTATGAACTCCTCAATTCCCAATTAGTTTTTAAGATAAGAGTTCTGCTGCATCTCTGTATGAATGCTTGTAGTCAAATTTTCAAAAGCTGTTTTGTCACAATTGGTGGTGCAAATACTTGTTTACATGGCCTAAACTGTTTACATGGCCACATCTAAGTACCTAATTAGACCCATAAGTCAAGTAGTTGATAGCTAAATGAAAGCGAGAAATTGGAATACAGCTTTAATAGTGACTGGATCTATGAATTGTACTAATAAAAAAGGAGTTAGGAGGGGAAAATAAGACAAAGGCACAGAGAGGATGAGCGTATGAGAAAGCTATAGACATACTGTAAAGACTGAAAGGTGGGGAGAGATACAAAAGATCTTGGGGAAGGGGGAACAGGACTGTTAAAAGTTGTTAGACCAATGGTTTTCAACCTTTTCCATTTGCAGACCCCTAAAAATTTTCAAATGGAGGTTCAAATGGAGTGGAAATCTTAGACATGGTCCACGGACCCCAGGTTGAAAACCACTGTTTTATGGTAACAGCAACAACCTTTCGCAGACCTCTTAGATTAGTGATTCTCAAATTTTTATACTGGTGACCCCTTTCACATAGCAAGCCTCTGAGTGCGACCCCCTTAAATATAAAAAAGTGTTTTTAATTTATAAACACCATTATAAATGCTGGAGGCAAAGCGAAGTTTGGGGTGGAGGCTGACAGCTCGTGACCCGCCCATGTAATTACCTCGTGACCCCCTGAGAGGTCCCGACCCCCAGTTTGAGAACGCTTGTCTTAGACACTGTGTTAGACCAACAGTGGAAAACTATCGTAAACCTTCTGATCAGACTGATGCTCCTCATTTGAAAGAGGAGGATCCCCAATTTCCACACACACACTTACCATTCAACTCTTCAAGCACAAGTTCTGGAGAGCTCATGTAATACAAATCACAAAGTCTCTTAGCATTTTCATAGCCATCTACATGAAATCAAAACAGAAAAATGTAAATACAAAAAATACATTTCCCTCCTTTTTTCAGATGTTTTGTAGTTTATTGAAAAGAACATCAACTAAAAACCAAAATCATTCTGCACTCTTATTGTGGACCTTTCATATTTTCTCACAAAAGCTGAAGTATTGGTAGAACAAAAACATATTAAATTTGAACTGGAATTTTCTGCTCCACATAAGGATATTAGTACAACATAAGAAGAACCTGATTTATATTAGTTCTCTCTATAGATTTTAATGTACCTTTTCAAAATTCTTGTTCAGCTGGTCTGCCTGAATTTACCTTTAATAACTTCAACAACATTGCAGTTAGGATTAATGCTTCCAATGTGTTTTGGATGCGCTGGATTAACTTTAATTTTTCCACCAAACAGCAAAGCTGCCAACAAAGAAAATAACATTTAGTAGGCAATGCAATTTCAAAATTTTCAGTTTTCATGTCTTCAGCATTGCTGAATGGAACAGAATAAGCATAGTTTATAATTTTTGGCTGTAGCATTCTTAAAGAAAAATGGTTCATCTGCTTTGCTGATGACAAAAAAAAAATGCTTTATAGGCATACATAGGTGTTTCCAAATGGATCAAGAAGATGCTGTAAGCAGCATATTTGAGTAAATACTCAATACTTAAAGATAAATGTAAGATATACCAACACATTCCATTCATGATTTTCCCCCTTTAACAGTAGTACTTACAGTGCTGATTGAGGAGCATTCTGATTGAAATGCGACTCATGTAGAAACGATCTAAAAAATACTGCACATTCTGACAGGTCACTGGATCAACCCCAAAGCTTTCCTTGTACTCAATCACACCTTGAGCCATTGTAGGAATTACGTCATTGTGTCGGTTCCGGATTGTTATCACAGTATCTGTAAACCTAACATTAATGAACTGTCAATTTTTCACTTTCAAGTGAATTTAACACTCATTAAATTCCTATCAGCAAAGGAAAGTGAAGCCCGCTGTTTACTGATATAGCATAGAACCACCCTAGCAGAAAAAGATAGGTCACTCTTGAGTCTCATTTAAACTGAAATTACCAATAAAGGTGCCATATATAATAGGGGGTTTAATAGATATTTTTCAGTAAGAACTGAAGTGAGACCAACAATGTTTGCACAGATCACCATGTGGCTGTCAGATGGCAACTACCTTCAGACACTGGTGACTTGAACTGGACTAAAAGTAAAAGGTTGCATGTGCCATTATCTAAACCACACCATTCTACTCATACTCACTTTCTACAATTTCACAGAAACTGAGTTTTGGGGACCAGAATTATACTTTTGGTAAATCAAACAAACAAAAGGAAACATTCATTTTTCTTGATTTAGTGAAAAACAGTGGGTCATATTATGATTGATCCATTACTAAACGGTCAAGGCCCTTAGGGTATGTCTACACAGCAACTAGACACCCACAGCTGGCCCATGCCAGCCGCCTCGGGATCCAGGGCTCAGGCTGTGGGCTGTTTCACTGCTGTGTAGACTTCTGGGCTCAGGCTGGAACCCAGGCTCTAGGACCCTGCAAAGTGTGAGAGTCTCGGAACTCAGGCTCCAAACGGAGCCTGGAAGTCTACACAGCCCAAGTCCTGCAAGCCCAAATCGGTTGGCTTGGGCCAGACGCAGGTGTCTAGTTGCTGAGTAGACATACCCTTAGAAATTTTCTTCATCTGAACCATCAATTGCCATTCATTGTTTATAAATATACATATTTTAAAGTATTTTAAAAACCACACTCACCTATGAATAACTTCTGAATCTTCTGCACTTTTCTCCTTAAAGTCAAGGATTTCCTGAAGACTCTGGACATACCTAAAACATAAATCCTCTATGGTAGATTTTTGTCATGATATTCCATACAGATCTTCTATTTTGTGAAGACATTAACAATTTTCTTTTAACATTTCTTAGCTTGTAATCAGGAACAATAGCATAGAGCAGGGGTGGCCAATCTGTGGCTCTGGAGCCACATGTGGCTCTTCAGAAGTTAATATGCGGCTCCTTGTATAGCACTGACTCCGGGGCTGGAGCTACAGGTGCCAACTCTCCAGTGTGCTGGGCAGTGCTCACTGCTCAACCCCCGGCTATGCCACAGGCTCTGCTCCCACTTCACCCCTTCCTGCCCCCTCCCCTGAGTCTGCAGTGCCCTCGTTCCCCCCTCCCTCCCAGAGCTTCCTGCACACCACAAACCAGCTGATTGGGAGGTGCGGGGAGGGAGAGGGAGGTGCTGATCAGCGGGGCTGTGGGTGAGCAGGAAGCGCTGGGAGCGGGGTGGGAGCGGATGGGGGGCTGCTGAGGTATTACTGTGACTCTTTGGCAATGTACATTAGTAAATTCTGGCTCCTTCTCAGACTGGCCACCCCTGGCATAGACCCATAACAGTCATGTTATAGCTATGGTTAAAGAGGCATTTTCATTACTAGCCCCTACTTTCAGGCACTTTCAACTTTCAAAATAATATCTTCTATGCTGAAAATGCCTTGGCTTGTTCTCCTACCAAAAGTTTATTTTTTTTAAGTTTGTTAAAAATGTTAATAATTCAAATGGATTAAAAAAAAGCATTAAAACTCAAAATAATTTTAAAATGTTTTTCACACTTGAAGTTAGTCATATTTTTCTTGCACTCTATTTTGACAGCTTTATTGAGAACTACGCATATGCCAAGTTTCAATTTTTACAACGAACAGATTGTAACAGATTTAACATAGTGTTCTATTTACCTGACCAATTTAAAACTCCCTTTAGGTGCAGGGTTGTACGCACACAAGTTTGAGACTGTTTCTCAAGGTTGTGATAACTCATAAACAAGTCAGTTTTTCTATAATATATATTAAAATGTTTTATCCTGTTGTTTTTTTAATAAATTCATGAAATAAGCGACTTTCCCAATAAAATACATTCCCGTAAGTCTTTCATAATGTAACTGCTTAATTGACACATTGGTATTTTATTATATAAGCAGCCGCCCTGTCAATTTTTCACTTTCACGTGAATTTAACACTCATTAAATTCATTGTAAGTTCTACCTGATTACTCCTAGATGAATTCTGCACCACTGCACATGCGAAGAATTCATGTCCCCTGCAGATTTTTTTTTCTCCACAGAAAATACATTCTGCTGGAGAGGTGCAGCAGTTACACCTTTCACCCACCAGGGGCTGATGTGGCAGCAAAATAGAGGGCAGTCATCACACCATAGAAGCTAGGAGCCAATAGGGAGACAGCAGAGGCTGCTTTTCTCACAGCGACATGCCTGTGGGGCCAGATAAGGGGAGATGGGATATGGGCGGGATGGACAGAGTGGGGCACACAGAGCTGCTGAGGGGTCATAGACTGGGGTTCAGAAGGGCTAGTTGGGGGACAGACTGGGGCAGGGGGGAGTGGGGATGCAGGGCCACCGGGGGCAGGGGAATGCAGGGCTGACAGGGGGTGCGGGATGGCTGAGTGGGGTGCTGGGACACATGAGGATGAGAGCACGGGGTGCAGGGCCACATGGAGACATGGGCAGATGTGCTTGGCTGAATGGGAGAGGGTCGGGGGTCAGCCAGACTCCCCAACTCCCTAACAATCCCTCCCCCACACCCAAAAAACCCTCCTGTTCCATACTTTTTCCACCCAACCCAACAACCCTCCAAGTTCACACCCAGGCTTCTTCTCAGCAATTTACTTCCCTCTCCTTCAGCTCCTCCATTACCCCTGACTCCCCAAAGCCTCTGAACTGCGTCTGAGGGGTGCAGAAAATACGTTTCTTTGTTGTAGTTTAAATGAATTATTATTCAAAATTATGTATTTATGTCTAGTAGGGAATCTATTTGTCCAAAACATTTCCTGAATCTTTTTTGTTGTCTGTATTGTTACAGACATACTTGTTGACAGGTATTTTGAAATAAATTACCAAAATAATTGAAACTGGTGTGATTATATTGTGTTATTTTGACAAATAAAATAGGCAGAATTTTGCAGAATTTTAAAATATTGTGAGCAGAATTTTTAAATTTTGGGCCCAGAATTTTTTATTTTTTGGTGCAGAATTCCCCCCAGGAGGACCTGGGGCATCAGCAGGTTTTTAAGTGCCTCCATCTCAGAAGAAGGAGAACCAATCTTCTGGGGGGAACAGACTAGCTAAAGTAGTTGGGAGGGTGCATCTAAGGGGGTAAACACATTGCATATAATTGAGACTCTAGATAGCACGCATATAAAGAATCGAGGGGCATATGGCAATCAAATTTATTCTCCCATATACCAATGCTAGACGGCTGGGAATCAAGAAGAACTAGAAATGCTCATTTACTATCAGAAATCTGACATTGATATTACTGAAACCTGATAGGGTGAGTCACAAGTGGAATGTTAAAATCACTGGATACACTATTTAGGAAAGAGTCGACAGAAGGGGAGGCGAGTAGGAATCTAAATAAATATTGATAATTCAGAAGAACAGGATCTGGAATGATTATGAATTAACATTCTAACTGATAAATTACAAGATGGAGTTACTAGGTGGAAGTCCATTATAAACCCCCAAATCAGTTGAAGGAACAGAATCAACAGCTCCTTACATTTCTACTTACAATTTATAGAAAGAAAAATTGCATTATGATGGGAAACTTCAATATTGGAGACATAAATCAGAGGTCTCATGTTGCAACTAGTATAACATCCTTGGATGATAACTTTAATTATAATTAAATTATAGTTGATAACTTTCTAACAAGTACACCTCTACCTCGATATAACGCTGTCCTCGGGAGCCAAAAAATCTTACCGCGTTATAGGTGAAACCGCGCTATATTGAACTTGCTTTGATCCACCAGAGTGCGCAGCCCCCCCCTCCCCCCCCCCCCCCCCCGGAGCACTGCTTTACCGTGTTATATCCGAATCCGTGTTATATCGAGGTAGCGGTGTATTGCAAACAATTTGGGGTAAATCTATACTGGACCTCATTCTGATGGATAAAGATAAATTGACTGCTGCCTTGATGCAAATGATCATGACTGAATGCCATTTATGTGCAAATAGAATAGTCCTAACCAGTAGTACCTATACTAAATGCTTTAAAAACACCAATTTCCCAAAGTTACACAATTGCAAGCAAAACGAGTGGCAGGAAAACTGAAACCTCAAAATGTGAATGTTAATTGTGAGTTGTTTAAGAATGCTTCTAGTTGCCCCAAAAATGTAATTCCATAATCAAAGGCTTTTTAGGTTAAAACCATCCTGGTTAAGAGAGGAAATGAAAATAGTTGTTAAAAATATTATAACAAATAGGAAGGTGATAGCCATGAGTACAAACTGGCAGTTAGGAAACTGAATCTCATATCAGCTTTTCCATAATTATTGCATTGAATCAAAGAATTAAAGGACTGTGGCATAATCAATGCCACTCAGCATTATTTCATGGAAAACAGGTCTTTTCAAGCTTTAGCTAACAAAGTTATAATCTCACCCAAAATGATAAAGGTAACTGACATAATATATTTAGACTTCTGTAAGGCATGTCTCTGAATCCTAAACGACATTTTTATGGAATAACTACTACACAAAATTAATGTAGTTCATATCAAGTGGATTATAAACTAATTAACAGATCACAAAATAACTAAGTAAGGTGCCATCATCGAGTGGAGGTGTTTCTAATGTTGTCCCTCAGGGATCTTTTCTTGGCTTAAAGCTACTAAATATTTTTTTGGATTATTGATCAAGAAATAATGGCTGGTAAAATTTGCAGATGACACATTGGCCCCGTAGAAAATTGAGGGAGCAGACCAGTTATACAGGTCTAGATTACTTGGTAAGGCAGGCTCATTTGAACAACATGCATTTTGCGAACTCACATCTAGGAACAAAGAATGTAGAACACACTTAAAAAAGGGGAACTGTATCCTGGAATGCAGGGGCAGTGAAAAGGAATATGGGGTAATGGCAGATAATCAACTGAACATGAAATCTTAGGCGATGTCTATAGTATCTTGCAATTCAGACTATGGGGGTGTGAATAGCCGTGTGCACCAAAGTGCTGCTCTGTAATTCCCCCGTGTGAACACTGCGAGCGCATACTAAAAGGCTCCTAGTTCACATTAACAGGAACCTTTTCGTTCACGCAAGCAGTATCCAGACAGGGGAGTTAGAGAGCAGCACTTTGGTGCACGCTGCTATTCATACCCTTGTAGTCCAAACTATAGGGGAGTGTAGACAAGCCTTGTGTGTGATGCTGTAGCTAAGAGGGCTAATACAATTTTTGGATATACAGGGAATCCTCGGACTTGCAACACTTTTCAATTGACTGCCCATTTCACCCCTACAACGCTCGTTTCCCCCTTACGACGCTCGGTTTGCTTAAAGTTTGCTTGAAATCACTTCCTGGTTGCATTATACTGGTATGGAGCTGGAAGGGGTCACTTCTGATTGGCTTTGAGGCAGTAGGGTAGTTTGTTGCCGGGTAGGGTTGCTGCCCCGGGCTCAGCCAATCAGAAAGCTTGAACAGTAATTGGCTGAGGCTCAACATATATGCCGTTCTCCCTGGTTTTCTAAGCCTGTGTTGCCTGCATTCTGAGCAGCATATACGAGTTTATATGTTTATTTGGATGCTGTTTACAAAATACAGTGTACAGTAAATACATTGATGTTGCAACATTAGTCAGCTATAATTCATTTAGTACAAAAATCTGGGTTAGTGTGGTGAAAATAGTGTATCAAGCCTTGGTTCAGAAACCAATCCCCCCTTCATACCGTTGATTCCTATAGGAAAAGCAGTTTCAGCTTACAACGCAATTCTGAGGAACAAATTGTGTGGTAAGTCCGAGGACTCCCTGCATAAACAGGATGCATAAACAGGAACATCAAGCAGGAGTGAGGAGGTGATAGTCTCACTAATGCTGCATGGAGAGATATTACTGCACCACTTCAGGTATCAACAATTCAAAAAGGATGTTGAAAAATTGGAAAAGGTTTAGAAAAGAGCTAAAAGAATGACTTCAGGTCTGGGAAACATGCCTCTCGTCAGACTTTGGAAGCTTAATCTAAAAGAAGGTTAAGAGGTGACTTGATCTGTTTATAAGCACTTAAATGAAGAGATTTTTAAAAAGCTGACAGCTTTTTAATCTAGCAGAAAAAGGCATAATAGCCAATGGCTGAAAGCTGAATCTAGACAAATTCAGACTAGAAATAAGGTACAAATTTAACAGTCAGGGCAATTAACCATTGGAATAATTTATCTAGGGATATGATGAATTCTCCATCACTTGAAATCTTTAAATCAAGACTAGATATCTTTCTAAAAGAAATGCTATAATAAAACAAAAGTTATGGGCTTGATGCAGAAACTAATGGTTGAGATTCTGTGTGTTATGGAGGTCAGACTAGATCATGATGGTCCCTTCTGGCCTTAAAATTAGGAAACATCTTAAACATAAACACCTGTCTTTTCAATGTCTTCAACCTATAAAGATGAATGAAATTGACTGAACATGAACTACAAACAGAAGTGAAACTGACTAGTCTGTTTTTTCTTGAAAGAAAAGCAAGGAGTAAAATCATGATGATCAGCTAGAAGTAAAATACTCAACATTCTCTCAGTCTATCAATATAGACCAGGATGTTTTCAAAATAGAATTTTAGATAGGAACAATCACATTCAGAAGAAATTGCTTAAGGCTACCATATAACAAACATGTATGTGAAGAGTTTCTTCCGCAGCAGCTTAGTTTCTTAGTATACTTAGTATTTCTTAGTACACTTGCACAACAATAACCCTTAAAGGTAAAATAATAAAATACAAGACAGTTCTTACCAGCTCTGCACCAGCTGAACTGAAGGTGTTTTTAGCAGGTTGTCTGGAAGCAGACTTATTTCTTTCATTATGTTTGCCAATCTTACAGGCAATTCTTGTCTCAAAAACATAAACGAAGTCTTTTCACAAGCATTTTCAGACCCTAAAACCAAAATATATTTGGAAAAATCAGAATATAGTTAACATTTGTGGAACATCTTTATACAGCTATAGATCACTATTTTCCTGCATATTTTTGTGGTCTGGCTCTGAGGTTAAATTAGACCAGGTTTGAACATAGGGATAACTTGGATGTGACCCTTTGTAAAACTGTATTATTTCACCTTAAAACAAAAATTGGCAGATACTAGTTACTTTGTCACTCAGGAACAATTATGTTTTAAAAGACCATGAATTAAATAAGCCAGTTGCTTACAAAGAGTATTGTGGCACCGGGGGAGGGTGTCATCACATGCAACCATAAAGCAATGTGGCTCAACAGGATCTGAACCCTGGACCTTCATATCCCCAATACAGGCCTCTATCAGTCATAAAAAATTCTCTCTTTTGTTGTTTTGCCTCAGCATGGGAGGATGGACTAGATGATACTTGCTAGGGTAGAGACCTGACACCATTGTCAGCAATAAGGTCTATAAAATGTCCAGAATCACAGGGTGATAGCTCAAGGTAAGGTCAGAGCTCTTTATCGCCCGTCTTCTAGATCTGTGCACCTTTCCCTAAGCTACAGGATATGTGAATGGGCCACATTGTCTCCAACAATGTGCTAGGGAAGATAATGGAGCAAGTAATTAAGGTGGTAAGGTGATAGGGAATAGCCAGCATGGATTTGTAAAG